CTGCCCAGGCCTGATGCCTGGGCCAGAGGCATCAGGCCTGGGCTGGGGGCAGAACCAGTGATGGGGGGAAATGAGGGGCTGATCCTGCGATGGGAGGGTGATGGGGGTCAACGCCTGAGGGCTCCTAATATGTGAGAGGGGGTAGGCTGGGCTGAGGGACACCCCCCCACACACACACCCAGTGCACAAATTTCATGCACCAGGCCCCTAGTCTTATATAATAAAAGGCTACTATGCAAATCGACCGAATGGCGGAATGATGTGCACTGACCACCACAGGGCAGATGCTCAATGCAGGAGTTGCCCCCTGGTGGTCAGTGAGCTCCCACAGTGGGAGCACTTCTCAGCCAGAAGCCCTGAGCCGGGCTCATGGTGAGAACAGTGGCAGTGGCGGGAACCTCTCTTGCCTCTGTGGCAGCACCAAGGATGTCTGTCAGACATCCCCTGAGGGCTCCTGGACTGTGAGGGTGCACCTTGGGCTGAGGAGCCTCCTCCCCCTGAGTGCACAAAATTTGTGCACTGGGCCTCTAGTTTCAAAATAAAAAGTTTAAAAAAATAAATGTCTTCATGCAAAGAAAATAGCACTGAATTGTCTGAGGTTTAGAAAAAAAGGAAACCCAACTTTCTTCAGAGCTCCCATTTACTAGTAGTTGTATCTAATAACTAAGCAAACATTGGTGATGTCAAATAACAGTCTCTGCCAGGTATTCAATGCCATCAGGAGTTCCCATTGTGGAGTTTAGTGAAGGGGAAGGCTTTAAGCAGCTCAAATGCTGCAGCTAGTGTTGCTGCTCTGATGATACAGTAGAAACTGGGGCAACTCAGCAGAACATGTGCTCTACTGATACAAAGGGGAGGCTGGCTTATTTTGAGAGAAGTTACTGCCCCCAGACCCTGATTGATCTATTTCTATGCAAAGGACTCCAAAGGCACACAGATTGATCCAAATAGCACTGCCTTGATTGGCCAGCTCCACGTATTCTGATTGGTGGTTGTGGAGCTGTTCTGATTGGTCAGTAAAGGTGCAAATGAGGCCAAAGCTCTACAGCTCCAATTGGACGAGGCACCGCTCAGCCCCATTGGTCAAAATAGTATCCTAGGAACTCCTTTATAAGGATCAGCTCCAGGCAGGAGCACAGTGCAGGAGGTGGCCGCCAGGCCTGGGGACTTTCCCTGAAATGGAGCCCCTCATAAACAGTGGCTGCTAGGCTCTGATTATGGTTTTGGGCCCGGTCAACCACAACCAGGTACATTCTTTCTTGGGGTCAACAGTGGTGTTCATGAATCATAGAGCAGAAGACAAACGCAAATAAAAAAATAAGTAAAAAAATCAGCTCTGTACTGTGAATTAAAAACTTTTTTTTTTTTTTTATTGGAAGCATCACCTGAAGTAGTTTAAAGAGCGGCAAAAACACCCAAGAGAAAGCTACTAACAATAAGGTTCATTCAAGAATTTTACAACACTCATTTTCATTCCTTAAAATCATTTTTACCTCCTTTGTCCTAGCAAGGCACAGAAAAACCAATAGCCAGCCCTTAGGTTCTTAAACAGTCCAGACACACACTTGTCGGGTGAAGTAAGTGCTTCTGCTCATCTGGCATTCTCAGGGGAAGGGTTGTCTCACCTTTTGGTACTTTTCTTTGTTAATCGCACAGGAGGATTTTGAGAGAGCAGGAGGGAGGGGAGGAGGGAGGAGAGACAGACGTTGGTGTGAGAGATGGAGGACCGGACCCCCTTGCCCCGCAACCATGAACTTGCAACCCAGGCTGGTGCCCCGACCAGGAACCCAACCTGGGACCCTGCGTGTGCAGGCGAAGCTCTAACCACTGAGCCGCCAGCCAGGCACCTTTTAAGTACCTTTAAATCTAATTTTGGTTTTTAGTTCACTTTGACATAATAGTTAAAAATATACCCTATAAAGACATAGTCATTATTGGGTGGGTAAAATGATCTGCCCAGTTTCACATATTTGAAAACTTTACATAGTGATTTATACTGTCAAATAAATAAATAAATAAGTCAAAGGACAAAGTAATCCCTTTGGATGAAGTTGCTATTGCCAGTATAAAATTAAATTTTATAAAATTCACCATAAAACTTAAGAAGTCTTCCTTTCCCTAAACGGTAGCTACCAAAATTTGTGGTTTCAAATAATGCCTAAGATAGTCTGAAATACTATCGTTTCCTTTAATGTGATTTAAAAAAAAAAAATATTTTATTGATTTTTTACAGAGAGGAAGGGAGAGAGATAGAGAGTTAGAAACATCGATGAGAGAGAAACATCGATTAGCTGCCTCCCGCACACTCCCCAACTGGGGATGTGCCCGCAACCCAGGTACATGCCCTTGACCGGAATCGAACCTGGGACCTTTCAGTCCGCAGGCCGTCGCTCTATCCACTGAGCCAAACCGGTTTCGGCTCCTTTAATGTGATTTTAAAAAATTTGTTTTTAATCTTCACTAGAGGATATGTCTTTAAAGAAACCCTGTGCGACTGCCTCCTGCAGAGTTGGGATGGAACCCTCCCTAGGTCTGTGCGGAGGCCGGAGTTTGGCCAAAGCGCGCGTGCAGGCGACCGCCACCCTAAACCCAGGGCGGGCAGAGGCGCTTCTCACAAACTGTCTCTATCCACACAGACGGTCTCTCTCTCCACACAGATGGTGGCTCTCTCACACAGACGGTCTTCCTCTCTACATAGAGGGTCTCTCTCTCTCTCACACACAGGCGGTCTCACCCTCACACAGACGGTCTCACCCTCACACAGACGGCCTCTCTCTCACACAGACGGTCTCTCTCTCACACAGACGGTCTCTCTCACACAGACGGTGTCTCTCTCACATAGACCGTCTCTCACTACACAGAAGGTCTGCGAAGGGGACTCGGCACCGCCCCGGAGTCTATGAGGAAAGAGCGCTGAACGCATTTCTATGGGCCTCACCGGCAGAGTCTCCCGTCTCCGCGTCCGTCCCTTCCCTTCAAGGAGCCCGGAGGAAGGCGGGGCCGCCTCGGGACAAGATGGCGACCACGCGACGCTCTGGGCTTCCACGCCACGTCTCGGTAGCCGGAAGTCCTGTGGGTGTCGCCAATCGGAAGGGGAAGTAAAAGGCAGTCGGCTGTCGGGCTCGGGCTCAGCGAGGCCGGCCGGCGAGCGGAACCGCGGG